CTGTAGAGGGTATGGGATTCAGATTTTAGTCCAAGGATTCGTGGTGCTATTATTGTTTTGCTCTTCCTCTTCAACACTGTCAAACCATTTCCAACAAGAAATGGCAAAAAAAAAAAAAAAAGGTTGGAGGCATTTATGTAAAAAAAAAGGTTCGGAGGCATTTATGTAATTTCCTATATTTATCCCATACTTGTTTTGGAAACATGGTTAAAAGCAGTTTTGACTTTTTGGGGCCACATCTCCCCTTTACTTTTTTGCATGTTTTTCAAAAAAAAGCCAAAAAACTAGTTTTTAACCTACTTCCCAAATACAAACAAACATTGTTTGCCCTCTATCTCCAACTTAATACCACCACATAACTAGTCTTCTCATTCAATCCCACCGTACTCTTAATCTCATCCAACCTAATCCGCCAAACAAATATGGCCTTACAACTGTGAAAAAGTATAAACTTCTAGTCTTGTTAACATTTATACTCTGTTTGGTTAGATTTTCAAGATTTATTTATTGATTTTCAACATTTATACTCTGTTTAGAGGTGACCATTGGTTCAATGGTAAAATCTTGACCTAATAACCTTGAGGTTATGGGCTCAAATCACAGGGCAACCACTTTGTGCACTATGCCAAAGGTCAGGTATGTACCCAATCTTTTCCCTCCCAAACACACATTAATGTGCACCAATTGAACGTTATTATTATTATTATTATTATTATTATTATTATTATTATAAACATATAAACTAGTTTGATGAAAACAAACACCAAAAAGAGATTTTCAAAAAATCATATAAAAATTAGTGTTTTTCATTTTTTTCAACATATTAATTTTTATTTTTTTAAAAAAAATTCAATAAACAAATTTAAAAAAAAAAACCAAAGAGCATTACTTTTTTGTATTTCTACTATTCTTTTTTTGTAATGAGGGTGTTTGGGGCTTCATCCTAACTCGTCCCTAAGGTACATGTAATCCTCCCATACCACATATACTAGAGGTTGTTTTGGGAATAGGCAATTTTAGTAACTTTTTAACTAAAATATGAGGTGAAAAAACTTAGTATGATTATAACGACTTTTTGACTTCTTAAGAAAAAACATGTAAAAAGTTGAGAGGAAAGGAAATCTTCGACTTTTTTGTATAGTTCTTTGGCTTTTTGACTTTTTAGTGACTTTTTGACTATTATCCAAACTTGCCCTAGGTTTATTATAAGAGAGTTCTTCTTAAGGGTATTGTAGTTGATTGTCTCTGCCACTTTTTGTCTCTCTAGAATACTTGTGAGTTCAAGAGTGCTTGTGTTCAATATTTGCTCCATGTGGAAACTTTTGGAGGTCAAGTGATCGAATAACTTCTGCATTAGAGTGAACTCAAAAAATCTAAAGTTGAATTGGATTTACTGTTTGAGGTAGTCATGTTTGTGTACATTTACAAACATGAACGTGCATATTAGGAATCAGAAGAAAAATTTTATATTCCAGATCTTGATCTCCACCTGCCATATCCACCTGAGATAACAAGCGTGCCCTATCCAATGGGTACACTGTTCCCAAATTTGTTGAACATCTAGCTCGTTTCATTGATTTACATGGTGTTCATGGCTCCGATCACAACCTCCAATTGATGGAGTACTCCAAATCCCGTATTGACAAAGCTTACAGTTGATATACCTACCTTCTCCAGGAAGCTCAACTCATAGCAGGACTTAGTTAGGAAATTGTATGCCCAAGTTCTTTTATGTTAAAGACAGGATCACTACTCTCCACCTCATTCATTAAACCATGAAAAGTGGAGAAGCACTTCTTACATTTGTTCGTCGTTTTTGGGAAAAGCTATGGATGTTCAAGATCATATTCCATAAGATCAAATGGTGAAGGCTGTGTGTAGATTTTGGCTCCACACAAAGCTCACTTGGTTAACCTTCACTTTCTTGATTTCTTCGGTCTATGTGTGGCCACTCGTAACCTGAGCGAGAAAGTTAAAGCAACCAATTGTCTACAAGCCCCGAAACCTTTGCCCACAATTTGGCTCATGGCGGCCACCCACACATAGAGACGATCATACCTACACTGTTGATGGCCCCTCCAACCGAGCCAATAGGGACCAAGTATTTGGGTTGCACCCAAAATGCCAATCAGAGAAATGTATTTTGGACAATTTTATAACCAATCTTATCATTTAATTAATAAAACGACAAGTGTATTTTTTGATCAACAATAAAAGGACAAGTGTATTCATCATCATATTTACTTGTGTCTTATTGTTTGCATGATAAATCCATAGAATTAATGTTGAAATAAATGTTCTTAAGAATTAAGAATGTGAGACATATACTTGGTACTTTATTATTCTTAAAGGCTCCTCCTAGTCACAAGATTGTAGTAATTCAGATAAGCTAGCACATGTTATGCTTGCTCAATTACGAGAGTGGCTAGTCTCAAAATTAATGTAGACACACTAAAGCAAACATGTAAATGCTTTGTTAGAAAACAAGTTCATTGAATGTGACTAATCATGGAAAGTTGTGAACCTTCCATATAGAACCATTTAGTCAAAGGAAGCAAGGACAAAAGTCTACGTATAAATGCTCAAAGGCATATGATAAACATGCATGCTATTTTCTGAATGTGAAATGAAGTTGGGAAACATGCAAATATTTATTACTAATTGGAACAAAGAAGGGATGCTGTAAGTTGCCAGGCGGGTAGGGAAGTGTTGTCCTAGGATTAAGGCTTCATTTTCCAAATGTGCTTCTCCATTTTGTCAAATGCTACAAAGTTGCAACTAACTCTCACGATCAAGATAAATGCAATGTAACAACTACAAAGAGAACTGTTATTTATTGTTTATTCATAAAGAATCTAATAACCAGAAAACCACAAATAGTAGGTAAAAAAATCCCAAAGACATTAAACATTTAGAATACAAAAACTGAAGCATAAGTACATAACTGATACAGAAATTTTCTTGAGTTATATTCATTTGGTATGTAGTGGTTACAATTACTAAAAGAACTAGAGATATTCAAAGGAAACAAAATCATTGAAAGTAACTTAACCTCTCTTTCTTGATTAATTCTCTCGCAGCGACAATCAATTCCCTGTGACAAAAGTTTTCAACGAGTTAAATTACCAGCAATTCTACTTGTGTGAAAAAAAAAGAAAAAAAAAAAAAAAACTTGCTTTGTACTGAACACACCAATAATATGTGAAAGCATCAATCTAATTGCATAGTCATTCAGTTTGAATGCTACATGAAAAACATAAGCCAGATGACAGAATGGAACAGAAAGACCTACCTTTAGTCTCTCTCTCTCTCTCTCTCTCTCTATATATATATATATACATGTGTGCTTGCATATATACATATATTTATGTATATTCAAAACATGTAAACATGAGGTAAACATAGCGACAAAGGAGGCAAGAAAAGTATACTAATTGCTCAAAATTGGTAATATTAGCTCAACCATGCAATAAAATTACAACCTCAATAATTTTTTCACTTAACTAACAAGAAAACTGACAAGTAAGAAAACAGTAGCACTATCCAAGCCATGAAGCACTCTACATCACGAAACTAGATATACAATTTGAGGTTCCCTCCAAATTCATGAATGTTTGAACTGTATCGAAATGACAAATGCGTCATATTTGATGTTCTATACAAATATTTGGCCATATGGCTAGATTCTAACCCGAGGCATTTATGAGGATGTTACTAGTATCACCTACTGAAGGAAAGTTAGCATTGCACATATATATATCAAGGCAAATACATATACATATATTTATGCAGAAATATCTCTCTACTTAATTTATACATTAAGAAACATATGACTCCCCTAACAAACTAAGCGAGAGAGAAAGAGAGAGAGATCCACCAGGTGATGGTGCTCTTTGATATTAAACTCATTGAAGGTTCCAATTTACTAAGCGACAAGCCAAACCAAGAAAAATTAATGAAGATTAAGGTGCTTGCAACTCTGGTATAGCAAGTCGGAAATCATTAGAAAATGAAAATGTTAGAATTCATTTGGAGTGCCATAAATCCACATTGATAGCATGATTTGCATATTCGTCGAGTGGAATCCACAAATTTACCATGGCTCCAAGCCCTATTTGCAAATTGAGAATTGAGAACGGGGAGCAGGACCACCCAAACAAACTTTGGGCCCTTGGTTGCACACAAATGCATTTACCTTAAAGCTATAGGTACTTTTTCCAGCTCCATTATTCATATAATTGCAATGATTCCAAATTTTTGCCTTAGGAAATGTCAGTTGTGAGGTGGAAAGTCAGTTCTACATGGTAAAACTGATGTTTAATTTATAAGCAGGGAAGTGAGGAGCAGGATTAGTTTAAACCCACCAAAAGACAAACCCAAGATGCCACCCTTATTCTGGGCCGCCTCTCATCCCCAACCCAAAAGGGTTTGATAGAGAGGTTACCAGTTACCTGATTCTTGAATCAAATTATCATTTCTTCCCATGAAATGGTTACCTCCACTGTGTATGAATAGTTGACAGATATATTATGCACACACGAAAAAATAATTGATATGCAAGAAGAACTAGTCTGGAAAACAACTCATAGCCAATAACATTTTCAGTTTTAATCGAATAACATGATAAATGATAATCTCAATCCAGCCACAATACTTATGTTGACCATGGTTTTGATAATGATATAGGCACTTTACCAAAACGGGCATAAGTTAAAAAAGATTATAAATTAGATGTATAAATTTATTTATTTTTTGGTTAAAAATACTGCCAATACATAGAAAAAATACGTATATTTACTTCATGAAAAAATATCATAAAGTACACAGCTCGTAAGAAAATATATAGAACCGTCTAGTTTACAAGGCAAAAAGTCTATTTCCCATCACCTAGTACAAATAAAAAAACATATTCAAACTAGCCACATCGTTATTGCTCATACCCACATTAGACACAAGAGTGAGACTTAAGAAACAATTAAAAAGAAAAGGGATCTAAATACCTTCTTTCTTTGGATGGCTGCATTCCATGTATCACATAAAACCTGTTTTCAAGAGAGTTTGCATCATTACAAAAAAAAAAAAAAAAACAACAACAACAACTATCATTATTTGTATTTGTCAAATTTATACCAAGAACAAATAACGAGCAACCTTTGAGCCAAAAGATCATGATAATGCAAGACATGCCCAAGTGAACTTTAGATTATGTAAATTGTTATTAAGATCCTAGTTTTTATTTAGTGTGTTCTGCTTGTCATCCATTTTTAGTTTAAGCCACATTTATAGTCATCAAGAAATGATATTAGAGTCTTATCATTCATTGTTGACAAGAAGTCATAGAAGCAGCATTGTTATTCTATTCTAGCAAGTTATTTATTATGTGAGTGAATTTCTGACCACACTGCCAACTCAGTATTCAACTGGAGAGCACTGACAAAATAGATGGCACTTGAGTGACCTGTAACAGAAAGAAGAGATTTCGTCGGTGGTTCGTCCACCCGGGGGCACTCCTACGATCAAGTTAGTTATCTCTCAAAGATAGATAAAGTGCTTAACTCACTGTTCAGAATATAAATTGTGTATCTTAGACCCATTGGGGGTGACTCTTTTTTATTGCCAACTCAATCCTAGTCCAATAGAAGCCTAGCTTCAATGGACTTCTGCTCAATGCTTATCTTGGACTCTCCAATAGATAAAGATAAACTCCCTAAGAGCTTTGTCCTTATCCAGGTTGAGGTCCTTCCTCATTCTAGGACTCCTGTCCCTTATCCGCTTGTCTCGGACTCCGATATCTTCGGAGATAAACTCGGCCTAGCCGAGATCACCTAGGTGTCAAGACCAGGACACGTGGCACCTCGGCTGACACGTCGGCGTCACCTTGGCCACGTGTTGGTATTCAGAAAATATATCCCCACAATTACCCCCTAGGTTCTATTACCTCGACATTCTGAGGTGATGCAACCTATATCAGGACTTCCTTCTAGAACGTCGGCTAAGCTTGCTTCTTAATTTATATGCCGAAGTAATAACTCCTTGGCTCAGTATGACCAAGACCCATAGTCTGCTTCCATCAATGCCTCAGAACCATTCACCAGGGTTGTTCAAGTTTCTTAGCCGAGATCATCCTCCAAGCCGAGGTACTACCCCATGAAATTAAGAATTCCAAGAGCCTTATCACGCGTATGAGCTGTCACGCATGACTACCCAACCATTCTTGCCACGCGTCTCTCTCTCTTTGGGTTGTACCCAACACGCGCCACTAAGTCAAATTGCTCTCGCGTGCGCCGTCTAACACATACGTCGTTTTAGGCACATTAATTGCCTTTTTGCCGCCGTTTTTGTGTTTTGACAAAACTCCCTTTCCTCTTTCCGTCTCTTCACTTCACACCACCGTTTCTGAAGCTTTTCCTTTCTCTAGCTTTTTCTCCCAAGTCTGCCATTGTCGCTCCCACGAAGCTTTCTGCAATTACTTCCCTTCATTCCCCTTCGGCAAGAATTTTTGCTGCATTTTTTCGGTTGCTGCAACCATCTGATCTCGGCGATTCTAATTTTCCCCTGTAAGTCACTGTTCCTTCGTTTCGATTTTTATTCTTCCTCAAACTGTTATATCTGTATACTGCAATTGCAATGTTTGTTCACATTTGTCTTTTTGAATCCAACCATTTATTCTGAACATATTTCTTTCTCTAGCTTTTTCTCCCAAGTCTGCCATTGTCGCTCCCACGAAGCTTTCTGCAATTACTTCCCTTCATTCCCCTTCGGCAAGAATTTTTGCTGCATTTTTTCGGTTGCTGCCACCATCTGATCTCGGCGATTCTAATTTTCCCCTGTAAGTCACTGTTCCTTCGTTTCGATTTTTATTCTTCCTCAAACTGTTATATCTGTACACTGCAATTGCAATGTTTGTTCACATTTGTCTTTTTGAATCCAACCATTTATTCTGAACATATTTTTCTTATGATTTTGTTTTTTGCCCAAACCGTCTTTAATATACACATACTACCCACATACTTGTTCATTCTGCCACTGTTCTTGGCCTTGTACCCTGGCACACACTCTATCACAGTGTTCTTGATGATTTACCACTATTCTTGATTCTGAATCATTGCTCTTGTTTGTGTTTTCTGTATTTTCTCTAGATTCTTGCCTTCAATCTCCGTTTGCTTAGACTTAGGTTTGAGATCTGCCCTAGAACACACAAATCTTTAGGAAAAAAACGAATCCCCCTCTGATCTTTCACAAATTCTTACCCCAGCGTGAACTTTAGGTTTTGCCGAGGTCTTCTGAGTCTTTATAGAACATTTTATTTCTAGTTTATACACCTTCTCCCTAAGCCGACGTCATGGGTATGTGGAAACATAGAGTAGACACCCCGACCAAATTAGAATACTTTAGGCAGGAGTTCTCCATCCCTGCCGACGTCCACCTCAGGTTGGCACACACTCTATCACAGTGTTCTTGATGATTTACCACTATTCTTGATTCTGAATCATTGCTCTTGTTTGTGTTTTCTGTATTTTCTCTAGATTCTTGCCTTCAATCTCCGTTTGCTTAGACTTAGGTTTGAGATCTGCCCTAGAACACACGAATCTTTAGGAAAAAAACGAATCCCCCTCTGATCTTTCACAAATTCTTACCCCAGCGTGAACTTTAGGTTTTGCCGAGGTCTTCTGAGCCTTTATAGAACATTTTATTTCTAGTTTATACACCTTCTCCCTAAGCCGACGTCATAGGTATGTGGAAACATAGAGTAGACACCCCGACCAAATTAGAATACTTTAGGCAGGAGTTCTCCATCCCTGTCGACGTCCACCTCAGGTTGGCAGGGGAGGAGGATTCCATTATGCCCGATGTGAACCTCATGCCTTTCCCAGTAGTGGCCTTTATTGAATGTGGACTTAGGTTTCCACTTGACACCTTTTTTCGAGAAGTCCTTCATTACTATAAATTGAACCCAATGCAACTTGCTATCAATTCTTACCGAGTTATCAACGGTATAATAGCCTTAGCCAAACAAGAGAACGTTAGGGTTACTCTCGCCGATATGTAGTACTGCTATACTATGTGTCGCCTGAAATCAGAAAAAGGCCATATCTATTACCTCAAGCCGAGGTCCACTGAGTACAAGCTCATTGCCGACCTCCCAGACTCAAACAAGGGTGCTGGAGACGATTATTTCATCGTCTCAGGCAACTAGAAATTTCAACCAAATGATGACCTCCACCTTTATCTCCTAAGCCGAACAGTTTTCGGGGAAGGAGATGGTAAGGGCCAAGTGTCACTTTTTCTTGCTCTCTTTTTTAAAGTTTTCAATACTTTGTTCTAACGTTTGTGCTCTCCTTTTTGCAGTTCTTCCCCAGCCACCAAAGGGCTTTCACAAGTCTTTCTTCCCCAGCAAAGACTTGAAGAAGTTATTGGATTTGCCAGTCCACAAGCGGAGAGCTCCTCTACTACTCAATTTCATCCCGACCTACAAGTCGGTTCTTCCCGACGTCCCAAAGACGAAAAAAAATCATGCTCTGCCTTCTGCCACAACTCTTCAAGCAGCCTCCTTATCCCGGCCAGATCAAGGATCGACCTCTGATCCAGCAGAGCAGCTGTCAACCTCGGCTCCATACCTGGTCCCACCATACCAACGCCAACGACGCCGTAGAACCGCAATTTTCGCCGAGATGGGTTGCAAGAAAGCTGTCGCCGACGACCTTCTAGCCGATATCCCTGACTCCATTGATGCTCAACCAGCACAAACCTAGCCTCAACCAAAGCCAAAGCCAAAACAAATAAAGAAGGCTCAGCCCAAGGCAACGGTGACTCAGATTGACATTGAGGACACCTTGCCAATTTCAAAATTGGCTGAAAGTGATAAGACCCAGTCTGCCACTGAGAAGAGGCCCGCCGAGGCCCAACCATCTGACTCTACCAGATCAAAGAGGCCGAGGTCATCCTCTGCGACCACCTCGGGGTCATTAAAACGTGATTCCCCTTGGGCCCCGCCAATCACAATTGATGACAAGCCGGTTAAGGTTGGTGATAGCGCCAACAACATTGAGGTCGGCGTTGCTCTTTCCACCGCCCTGCTGTTGCCCGGAGATCTCAATCGTAACGCTCAGATGAACGAATACGAAAATTTTGCTTTGATGCTGCAGCATTCCGTTCAAGTAAGTACCTTACACTTAGTACTTTTCTTTCTTTTCTTTTGTATACTTAGAGAATTTTCTAATAACTTCTGTTTTGTCCATGTTTCAGGCGATTTAGCACACCCACTCTTTCTCAATGCAATCTTTTGAGACAAGGAAGGAGTTGGCTGACAAGACTAGAGAGGTTACTAGTCAGCAGAAGGCCGTCAAAAGGGACGAAGCAAAAATGAAGACTTTGTCCGACCAGACTGCGGCGGCCATTAAAGCCAAAGACGTGGCCAAGGAAAAAGCAAATGCTGTTGACGCCATCAATAAGGTTCTTGAGGCCCAGAAAAAAGAGGCTGAAGAAAAGACGGCCTAGGCCCAAAAGGAACTCCAAGACGCCCTAGCCACAAAGGAGGTCGAGATCAAGGTTGCCGATGAGAGGGCATATGCAGAGGGGGCGGGGTACGTCAAGGAGGATTACAAAAAGCAAGTGAGGCAGGCATGCAATAAGGGTTTCACCCTTGGTTGGATGGCTGCCCTCAAAAATCTTGACGTCCTCGAGGACTCCTCTCTAAAAAAAGCCGACGTCCTACCCCTGCCATTCCCCCCTACTCTAAGCCAATCCGAAGACAATTCTGAGTCTGAGGAGGAAGCTTTGGTGAGGAAGTCAAAGGAAGCTGCTGGGGCCAAATCTCCTACTCAAAATGAGCAAGTCTTGGACTTGACTCAGGATGAGGAGGGTGAGGAGGTCTCCAAGGATGCTGCTCCTGAGAAGGAAACATCGGACGTGCCTATCGCCGACAAGAGCCTTGACCAAACCCTCCAAGAAATAGATGCCAAGCTCGCGGCTGAGAAGGCCGCCGAGATGTCTTCCCAGCAGTCTTCCAAACTCCAGACCCAATCACCTAAAGACATTGAAG